CTGCCTGCTGCTCAAGTGCCAGGACCCGAGTTCAATCCCCGGCGGTACCAAAAAAAAAAAAAAGTTGAAAATGAACTTCAATTTAAAAATGCATAGTTTTGGGGTTTTTTGGGGGGGGGTTTTTGTACCGGGGATTGAACTCGGGTCCTCGCACTTGCAAGGCAGGCAGCAGAACCACTGAGCTAAATCCCCAGCTAAAATGCATAGATTTTTAGGGTCTGGGGATTTAGCTCAGTGGTTCTGGCACCTGCCTCACAAGTGCAAGGTCCCAAGTTTGATCCCCAGTACCAAAAAAAAAAACCATAGATTTGGGGCTGGGGATTTAGCTCAGCGGCACCATGACTGCCTCGAAAGCTCAAGGTCCTGACTGGGCGTGGTGGTGCACCCCTGTAGTCCCAGCATTGGGGAAGCTGAGGCAGGAGGATCACCACAAGTTCAAGGCCAACCTGGACTATATAGTGAGTTCAAGTCCAGCCTGGACTACATAGTGAGAACTTGTCTCAAAAAACAAACAAACAAACAAAAGCATACATTTCAGATTCACCCTTTGATCCAGCAATTGGTAATAATCTATTCTACCTTCATTCCTTCCTAACTCCATACAGCAGTATACAATGTGAATCCATAACCACAATTCTTATAAACCTGAACACTGGTAATAAACTGAATAAGAAGTGAATTGTGGTACATTTACACGTGAAATACTCTGCAGTTATTATAAGGATTGAGGTCTTCTATAAAAACTAGTAGAGAAAAAAATCCAAACTATGGAGTTAAATGACTAAAGTAAATTAACAAAAGAGTAAGTCTAATATGATTCTGTTTTGTTTTGTTTTGTTTTAGTGGCAACTGTATGCTGTATTCAATTTTTGTTATTTTCTAAGTTCTTTTTACTTATATCAAAATTAATGCATGCACATAAAAAAACAAATAGTATCAAAATATTTACAATGTAAAGTAGGATCTGTGGGTTTTAAGAACTTTTTCTTCTTTTTTCCCTTTGAGACAAGGTTTCACTACATAGTTCAGGTTGGCCTCGAACTCACTATTCCTAGGCTTGTACCAGGCTGAGCTTGATCTCTTGGAGATCCTCCTGCCTCAGCCTCCCTGGAAGTACAGATAAGTGTCACCACACCCGAAAGTCCCTTCTTTATCTACAGTAAGTGAATGCAACACCCTCATGAGCCAAATGTGACCTAATTCAAGAAACCAATTTTTAAAAATCTATAGTTACCTTAGAAGATGATCGTGTTTATGTTACTGTAATGTATGAGAGTGTACAAAGTGATTCATGTTGGCCCATGATCACAATCACAGGCAGCAGATAAGGAAGCAGTTATGTGCTCCTATCTCTGTAGCCCAGCTACCTAGAATCAAATCTTGGTTTCCTGACTTACTAACCATGTGACCTTGAACAACCCAAACCTCTGTACGTCTCAGCTTCTGTATCAGATAATAGTGCTTGGGCAGGGGTACTTACCACAGTATCCTTGGCCCTCCTAATGCATTTTTAGGATGATACCAAGGAAAGTTTTAGTACTTTATGCTTACTAACATTCAATTAATAATAATTGGATGGGCCAATCAATGTGAATTATTCCCATTTTAAGGGCCGGGGATTTAGCTCAGTGGTTCTGCTGTCTGCCTTGAAAGTGCAAGGTCCTGAGTTTGATCCCCGGAACCAAAAAGAAAAAAAAAAGAAAAGAAAAAAATAAATCTTATATAAAAAAAAAAAAAAACTGCTGCCTGCCTCAAATTATTCCCATTTTATAGATGAGGGAATCGAGGTTCAAAGTGGTTGAACTAATTACCCAGCCAGTAAATGCTAGTGGCTCTTGAACTCAGGTCTTCTAGTATCAGAGACAGTTCTCCACAATGGCATTATCTTCATGGAAGAATCTACCATAGACTCATTTAATAATTATTTATTGAACAGCTAATATGTGCCAGTCATTGCTTGGTCCTAGAAATTTTAAAATAACCCCAATATAGCTGGTTATCTTGAAACAACCCTAAAATTACAAATACCTCGAGGGCAGTCCCAACATTTTGCTTCATCCAGCATTGGCTGATAGTGAATTCTGAAAATTTAACTGAAGTTTTTTGTTTGTTTGTTTTTTGGTACTGGGGATCGAATTCAGGTCCTTGTGCTTGCGCAGCAGGTGGTGAAACCACTGAGCTAAATCTCCTGCCCTAACTGAAGTTTTTATAGAGGATAGAGATGAGGATTATATCATGTTAAACTAGAATCTGCTCAAAGACCATGTCTTATTTATTAATGTATAATCAGCATTTAGCACAGTGCTTGGCAAACGCTCATTTAATATTTGACAACTGAACAACATGTCACACAGGCAAATTTGATCCATCTTCCTAAATAACTTCTCACATGGCCCCCATGATGCCTTCCCCTCCAGAATTATTAATGAAATTGGCCTGAATTGAACTGTGAAGAGTTCTACCTTACCTGAACTTGATAGGATTCTTCCTAGTATTCCTGGCTTCCAGACACAGGAGTTTTATCTGCAACAAAATATAATGACTTTGGGTTACGAAAAAAATATATAAATCAAAATGCTGAGTCGAAGAGCCAATGGTGGAATAAACAATAACAACAACAAAAAATCTTATGGAAAGATAAGGAATACTGAGAAGAACTGGCAAGGAATGAGACAGAGAGTAGGTCTGTAGTAACATATCAACCTGATGGAAGAGAGTCCATTCTCTTTATAGACAAACTGTGAGTTGGTTCTGTAATTATATCTCAGAGAGTTTCCTCTGTCCAGTAGCCTGTCAGCAGCTTCAGGCTTCAAAGTCGTTTCTATGAATCCAGGGGCTAAGAGGTCCCAGGAACAGCGCTTGCTGCTGAGGAGGAGGAGGAGGCAGGGCCTGAGGGCTCTGGTTTCCTCAGGCCCAGTCGACTCTCTGTTTTGAGGACTAACCTCCAGCTGAGGAGAAACAGGCTTTATTCTTTATTGGTACACCCTGACACCTCCTCCCAGTTGAAAGAAAAATCATTTCTTTTGACAAAAAAATGTCACAAATCCTCCTCCCTTTACCTCATAACCTTGCCCTCAGGTTTAGCTCAAAGTTAAATTAGGTACTTTCTGCTGGGGATTTAGCCCAGTGGTTCTGCCACCTACCTGGAAAGCACAAGGTCCCTAGTTCGATACTTGGTACCAAAAAAAAAAAAAAAAGAAAGAAAAAGAAATACTTCCCAGAATTTGGCAGCGTTTCATTTTATATATTCCCTCCTTGCTTCTGACCTTCTCACAGATGAAGAATATTCTCCTAGACTGGGGGGGGGGGGGACACAAATATTCCTAGAGTGTATCACTGTGAGATTAAGAAAATGGGATAATTAGGGTAAAAAAATCAGTTTGTGATGAAGCTGACTTAAACTCAAGGTAGTCCTCTTTGGAACAGTTAAAGACTTCACAGTGAAAGGAAAATAAAATCAAGAAGTGTACTCCTTACACCTTAGGGAGACATCATAATATATTTCATTTTCTCCCAAGCTAGGAAACGTGACCTCCCCTAGCAACACCTGGTGCTGGCCACTCAAATGCATTTATTTCTTCTGTGATGGCAAAAGGCAGAACAGTGAGAACCAACTGGAGGCTGAAAGAAAAAAAAAATGTGGACTTCCTGCTCACAGAAGAGATTCTAAGACATCCTTGCTAACACAGCATTGCCGAAAAGGCTTGTGCATGAGTCAGGCACAACTGTTAAGTGGGGTGATGGGACTTGCAGAGCTTATGAGAATTTCTGATGAAGCAGCAGGCCGGGAGTGCCTGTCTGTTATTGTATGCATGCAGCCCAGTCTGTAATCTGACTTGTTTGGGTCTTTTTGTTTTGATAGGTTTCGGGTCACTGAGGCCTGTTGCAAGCCCTAAGCCTTCGCTATCAGAATTCCTCCCTAGTTCGCAGTGGAGAATTGAGGCTTTGTGGGAAGAATGCTGAATACTCCTACAAACTACACAGAAAAGGCTGAGAGACATTTATTATGGTTTATTAGCATCTGATTACAGGAACATGATCCCAGTTCTCCTAGTCTCCTAATCACAGATGCATTTCCCAGCACACCGCAATTTGGCTGGATGCTGTCTGAAGTGTGCAGGAACCAAGCCAAAAGCAGGGCCCAGCAAAGAACAGAATGAAGACAACTGAGTAAAACGTCTCTTTAGGCTTCCAGCACAGCCTCTTCCCTAGGTCCAGTACCCTTCTAGAGTTTCTAGATTTAGCAAAGAAACAGACACCCATTTTTTTATCTGGTAGTCTATTAAGGCTCTATAATAGATTTATTGTAGTCCTCTGTCAGAGCCTAATTCAGGGAAAATCTGAGTTAGCCATCAAATCTTACAGTTAGCCACCAAATCTTTCTTTATGTCTGGTTGTAGATAATATGGATCAGAATAACCTGAGGGAGGTAAAAAATGCAGATTCCTAATTATCACCCTAGGCTCTGAGAATCAGAAATGCAAGAGTGGGCCTAGGAATATGCATTTTAATACCTCAGATAATGCTGAGGGCTCACTAAGGCAAGATATTCAATGACCTCAGGACTTTCATACTTGTAGACTTCTTCCTGCTTGTAGGTATGGAAGCTGGTATCTACAGGGACCTGTCTATAGTTCACTTAATTTCTTCCTAAAGGAAGTTGAACTTCAGGAACAAGAAGGGAGAGCTCTGGGAACATCAGTTCATGCCATGTTGAGAAGGTGAGCAGGAGAAGCCAGTGGAATTCCCCGGCTCAGGTTTTGGGTTTAGAAAGACTACAGGCCCCAAAATGCAATGCCACTTTCTAAGGACTACCATTCCCAACATGCAGTGCGGCCAAGTAAATTAAGGAAAAGAATTGCCAGCCTGGCTGGAAAATTTCCCTTTCTGTCGCCCTGGCCAAAAGATTTAGAAAAGCCCCGGAGGGTATTTTTTTGCAGTAAAGGTTACTCCCTAAATCCAGACAAGGAAGGGGAGGAGCCTAGGCAGAGTCCCGTCCCTTCTCCAGTAAACTTGAGTCACTCCTGGCTTGGCCACTGGCGTTTGAAGAGCTGGGAGTAGTTGCACGTCCTGAACTTTCCCAATGGTTTCGGTGAACAGAAACGTGTTTGGAGAGCTGCCCTCGGGGGGAGGGACAGTGGAGAAGTTCCAGCTGCGGTCAGACCAGCTGAGAGTGGACATCATCTCCTGGGGCTGCACGATCACAGCCCTGGAGGTCAAAGACAGGCAGGGGACAGCCTCAGACGTGGTGCTCGGCTTTGCCGAGTTGGAAGGTGGGTTGCATCCTGCCCCGGGTCACTGGCGGACCCCAGGAGCTCTCGTGACACACCCGACTCGCTCGGGCCTCCTACTACACCAGTCCCCGAGCTTGGGATCGTCTAACTCGGGAGTGCGTGGACCTTGTTAACAGGGTTGTGCCGGTATCAGTGCTAGGGAAAAAACCCCAGAATGATTGCAGATCTCTCTAGGATTTGTTGTCTGATTACCCACTCAGGCTTTGCCTCTGGTTAACCTTCTCTATTGAGATTAAGACAAAGCTTCAGTAACCCTGGGGCAATCTTGAACTGCTGGTTTTGGGGGGGGGGGGTGTTCTTCCCAAGCGCTCTTTCTGAAGCAGGAAAATCAAAACTTGCGCCTTCTACTTCCTTTTTCCTTTGTCAAATTCTCTTGGAGGCCTGATCGACCCAGAAATTCTCCATAGTGCAAGCTGACTGACTGTAAGAGTGGAGAACTTGGCTCTTTTGGTTAGCGGAGGTATAAAGGTCAGTCTCCCCTTCTGCTCAATAAGCACATAGTTAAGGAAGGGAGTCCAGCTCTGTCTAGAAATGAGGCCTTCTAACTCGGTGAACTTTTATTTCATCTCAATCCATGGGTAATTAGGATCATGTACTAATGATTTAAAAACTTTTAATTCATTGAAATCAATTCAGCGAGCCCAATTCAGTAAGACAAACGAGGTCCCCGGCTTTGAGGAGCTTGCAGTTTAGTTGAAGAGATAGATTTTAATCCAGCAGTTGCATAAATAAATAATTATAATTGCAGTTTGATTGCAGCCGGGGAAAAGGTAAATTGTGCGATCTCTTTGGGTTATGGTGTACCTAGACAGAAAATGAGGTCTTAAAACTGGCAAAGGGAAACAGAATTAATACGCTCTGGTCTGTAGTGGGATAGACAAATTCTGCTTGAGAGGAGGTTTGAGGTTTTTTTTCCACATGTCATTCTGTCTTTTTTGTTCTCTAGATGTTTAAGTTGGTTCATGATTTGGGGTCAACAGGAAAGCTGAGAGTTTTGTTTTGCCCATAGAAAAACTATCCCACCTCTTTAGTAAAATTTATGATAAAATATTGTGAGGATCCCATTCCTCACCTCTGGCTGTCTTTACGTGCCCTGAGCTTCCAGGCTTGGCTTGGAGAGGGGTCCCTTCAGCAGACTTCCCTGTTGATAACAAGTGAGGAGCCTGTTACAGGAGACTGACTGGTAGGAAAGTGCGTGATGTGGAGATCAGGCACATTTCCCCTTCCTGTTTTTTTTCCAGACATCTTTAGAGTCAAGAGGGCAAGGCAAGTGTCCAAAGGAGACCTTAAAATCATTTTGCTGAGTCATTTTTCTCTGCTGGGAGCATAACCCCTCCCTCAGAAATCGAACTCAGAGCCTTGGGCTTGCCAGGCTGGCGCTTGGCCGAAGAGCTACATCCCCAGCCCTGCATAACCCTTTTCTAGGCTGAGATAAAAATCACAAAGAGATTATGTGTGCCTGTGCAGAATCAAATTGCTCATAGAGGCCAAGGAGAATTGATCTATACCTAGAATTCCAGAGCCAGTGAGGAAGTTGGAGAAAATACCTTCTTTCATCACCTGGTTTCCATGGCTTCCCTGTCACCATTCAGGGAGGTGCTGCCCATCTACCAGGACACACAGGCTCCCTCGCTTCTTGCTTTATTTAGTTCTGAGGTAAGAGTCACATAGATCTAAAAGCACCAGCACTCCTGGGAATTCATATGAAGCCTGAGCCACAGTGACATGGGACCCAGGAAGCACCAGTTTCTTGGTAAGCATGGAAGTGCCAGTGTACGGAAGTATACATTGTGGGAGGGCATTCACATTACCATCTGTGCCTCTGTGACTCTTGTGAGGGTCTCAATAAAAGTAATGTTCTTTTTTTTTTTTTGGTACCGGGGATCAAACTCGGGACCTTGCACTTGCAAGGCAGGCGCCATAACCACTCAGCTAAATCCCCGGCCCAAAGAAATGTTCTTAAAAGTGAGAAAAGACAGCTCCCTGTCCTCCCTTGTGTCAACACATCTTGAGAATGTTTGCTAGCATTTTCTTATCAGCATGCATGCAGCTTCACAAAATGCCAAGTTGAATCAAAGCATTCACATATTCTTCTTGGTGCTAGATCAAGATGGACATTTTCATTCCTGTATTATAATTTAGATAATTTATCCTAAAAGGAGTGAATACTATCTTCAAAACAGAAATTGAAGGAGAATATGTTTGGAATATAAAATAGTGCTTTCTAATAGGTTTAGAGGCCTTTGAGGTTATTCTAAATGGACCCTAGTTCCCTTTTAAGGCCTTGTCTTTCAGTTTTTCATAGATCCTTTTAGTATTGCCATAGACTTCACATGTCATAACAGGAAGCAGGTTGTCTCTGTCATAAAAGTATGAAATGGCTCTGTGCAACTCTTTTGGTTAAATTTTTTTTTTGGTACCGGCGATCTAATTCGGGTCCTTGTGCTTTCGAGGCTGGCGGCAGAACCACTGAGATAAATCCCCGGCCCGACACTCATTTTTTAATATGGGTTTTAACAAATTAGAATTAACCAAAAGAGGGCTGGGGATTTAGCTCAGTGGTTTCGCCGCCTGCCTTGAAAGCGCAAGGTCCTGAGTTCGATCTCCAGTACCAAAAAAAAGAGAAAGGAACCTGTAGCTAGGCATTGTGGCACAAGCCTGTAATCCTAGTGCTCAGGAGGCTGAGGCAGGAGGATTGCCATGGGCCTGACCTACATAGCAAAACTGTTTCAAAAAAAAAAAAAAGAACCTGGATAGCTGGGGTATAGAGTATAGGATGGACACATTTTTCACTGTATATCCTTTTTAAATGTCTGATTATGTAAGTATATATGAGCAGGCTGAGGTAAATAAAGTAATTAGACTTGACACAATACAGGATTATCTTGACATTACCATGTCCTAAAAATGTCTTGATCCATGAGGAATGGCCAAGCATGGGTAATTCCATGAGACGTGGGCCTTTTGTAACTGCCAGGCTGGATGTGAACAATCTTTAGTTTCCCAGATAGGTTATATAAACTGCTTGGATGACAGCCATGACCGGAGGTCAGAATGGTTCAATTTCTCCCTGGGAAAATGAGATCTTTTCTCTGTATAATTCTAAAGAGGTAAATTATACAATCTTTTAGTTATAGTCTGGAAAAAAAATCAGTAATGACTTCTATGAGCTTTTCCTACCATTTCTTGTCTTTAAAAATGTTTTTCATCTGAGTGTCCTGCCTTCAGTTGTTAGAGTTCTTTCAAAGCCTGTCATGAGAATATTTGCTTATAAGTCCGATATAAACAAGCAGTCTGCACAAGCCGTGAGACCTCTTCCCCTTGATTTTTCTCCTACTTAACACCAACACCCTATTATTGCAATGAGAACTATTATGGAAAAAAGAAAAAACAAAGTCTGATTTTAGGGCTGGGGACTTAGCTCAGTGGTAGAGCACTTGCCTAACATGCACAGAACGCTGGGTTTGATCCTCAGTACCACGACAAATAAACAAACTTACTGCTTTTACAAAACCTGAGATCAGAAGGAGGGTGAGGTAGAAATCAAAGGGGTCAGGGTAGAAGCTGCAGTTTAATGTTGTTGTTTTGGTTTTTTTCCGGTACTAGGGGTCGAACTCAGGACCTTACACTTGCGAGGCAGGTGTGGCACCACTGAGCTAAATCCCCAGCCCTGGTTTAAATCTCTACCTTGTCTCTTACAGCTGTGAAGTCTTAGGCAAGTGACAACTCCTCCAGATCGGTCCCTCCCCTGAAACAGCTTGGGGTGATTAAAAACACTGCCGACTGTGACATGTCTCTAATCAGAGCGAGCAGTTAATCATTTTTATCTCTTTTCCTTCCTTTGGCCCCAAAGATCTTCCCTCACCTTACTAGAATTTTTTGTTTCGTTTTGTTAGCCTGCAAAACATCATAGGCGCCTGGCATGGTGACGCATGCCTGTAACCTTAGCACTCAGGAGGCTGAGGCAGGAGGATCACTACAAGGCCAGCTGGGCTGCATAGTAAGTTTGAGGCCAGCCTGGACTACAAAGCGGGACTCTGTCTCAAAGGGGAAAAAAAAATCACTTATAGATAGATAGGTGGATCTGGGATAATTGAAGTGATTGTCACTGAAAGTTCACTTACTTCCTCAGAAAGCCAAAGCATAGTCATTCAGGGGGTGAAAGCTTTGAGAGAAGAATAGTAAATAATTGTATTTCTGTCTGAAGTGGGTGTAATAGTGGGGACCTGAAGTATTAGCAGAGTGGAAAGACCATATCCCCTTGCTAGGCATTATTAATTTATTCTGGCCAGTGCCCTCCCTGGAAGAGGGGTGAACTTTCTCTCACTTTAGCAATTGAGTTAGGTCAAATCAGCATTCATGGACTGACCTAGGAACTTGGAACTTTTCATTGAAAACAGTATTTTCTGCAATGCAAAACAACATTTCAGTTTTGCTGTACTCAGGATTTGGAGGTTGTCACTTTTTGTCATTCTGACCCAAGGTGAAAGCTAAGCAACATTTGTGTGAATTCTGTTTGTTCTGTGAAGGATCTTTTCAGAGTCAGCTGGGAATGACGGTTTCTCTGTCTTCTCCTCTAATCCTTAACAGCTATTCGTCCAAACTGGCAAGTGCTTTTGCTCTCCCTGGGCTGACTTAACTGTGGCCAGGGAGTGGCCACTTCTCAGGGACACCTTGCCAGCCTGTGGCAGGAGTCTAGCTGCCAGGTCTGTGCTTGTCTGCAGTGCCCAGCATACCTCCAGGCCAGAGTGGCAGCTCTGTACATTTGTGGAATAAATCGAGGTAGGACTGACAGTTAGCTACCGCCCAACAGTCTTTGAGACAAAATTTCTGCTTTTTTCTACATGTTTTTTAGCCTTACTGAGGTTCAGAAAACAATATCCCAGGCAGTGAAGGCTTTAGAAATAGTTTCTGACTTCCTGTCCTAATTGCCCTTCACCAGGCCAGGTCATAGGACCAGAAACCCTTTTCCCCCAAACCAACCATAAAACCTAGAAAAATGACTCTACCCGCACCTTCTCTTTCTAAGAGTTGGCCATAAAAAAAATTCTCTGCTGAGCACAGCGGCACACCCCTGTAATTCCCAGCTACTTGGGAGGCTGAGACAGGAAGATTACAAGTTCAAGACAATTTAGGGACTTAAGCAAGACCCTGTCTCAAAATAAAAAACGAAAAGAGCTGGGGATGTAACCCAGTGATAGAGCAGCCTCGGTTTCAATTCCCAGAACTGCAAAAAAAGAAGAAAAAAAAAATTCTCTCACCTGCCTCGTTTGACTGTAGGTCACAGGCTCCCCCATTCCAGAAAGGTTCCTAAGGAACTTGGGAAGAAGGAACGCTTCCCAGATGGGTCAAAAAGAATCTAGACAGATCAGCCATGCTGGGTTTCTCCTTCAGTCACTATTATTTTATCAAACCTTTCTTGTCAGTCGTATTTCTGCATGGCTGTCCATACTTCATCACACCTAAATGTAAGAATGGATAGTTCACCCAGAGGTCGTTGAGTCAAATAAACTATGATCAAAGAAATACATGACACTTTTCTCTTGGTAGCCTGTCTTTTGCTGTGATCCTTGAAGATGGTTAGGAAAGGGATCATCCCTTTCTCTGAGTGAAAATCAGGTGAAACAAAACCAAGAAAGAGCTTGTTTGGCCCTTTGGACTGACTCCTTGTAGTTAACCATGGTTATGGCCATTATAGATGGGGGTTTTCGGAAGTGGCTGGATCTAGAGTGTGTGATGCTGGGATCAAGGATGTGATGCTAGGATTGATTCCTGGTGCAGTGCTAGGATTAAGGGTGCCCCACCCTGGGTGTGAGTGCTGCCTGCCCTAAAGACAGGTACCCTGGATAAGACATAAGGGACAGAAAAAACGTTGCTGCTTGTTACCTGTTGCTTGTGGCTTGCTGCATGCTGCCTTCTGCCTGCCTGGTCTGTGATGCCCTTCTGCCATGCCTCCCTGCCTTGCAGCCAGCAACTATGGACTGAACCTCTGCAAACTGTGAGCCAAATAAATCTTTCCTCCTTTAACTTTGGGTGTCAGGTATTTTGTCTCAACAATGTGAAAAGTAACGAAGACACCAGTGTAAGTAGTTTTAAAGGTACAGCTTCAAAAAAACCAGGAGCATAGGGAGAGAGGTGGAAGCTAGTAGAGGGATCAGCCAGGCGTGTGCCTAGAGATGGTAGTAGGGTTGGTCAACCAACGTGTTTTGTGCTCTCAAGCATAGTCAGTTCTCCCTATCTGTGGATTCTGTGTCCATAGAGAAAATCTTTGGGGGGGAAAGAATTGCATTTATGCTGGCTGTGGTGGTATATGCCTGTAATCCTAGCTACTCAGGAGGCTAAAGCAGAGGGATCACAAGGCTAACAAGAACCTGACTCAAAAAATAATAATAATTTTTTTAAAAAGGCTGGGAATGTAGTTCAGTGGTAGTGTGCTTGCCTAGCATGTGTGAAACCCTGGGTTTGATCCCCAGTACCAAAAATAAAATGCATTTGTACTAAACATATTTACACTTTCTTCTTATCATTCCCTTAATAATATAGTATAAAAACTATTTGCATTGTATTAGGTATTATATGTAAGGTAAAGATGACTTAAAGTATATGGCAGGGCTGGGTATGTATGGTGCATATACCTGTAATGCCAGCACTTGGGAGGCTGAGGCAGGAGGATTGCTGGGAGTTTGAGACCAGCCTGAGCTACAGTGAGTTCAAAGCCAGTCTGAAACATATAGCGATATTGTCTCAAAAAAAAAAAAGTAATTTATGGGAGGATATGTGTAGGTTATATACAAATGCTACCTTTTTATATAAAGGACTTGAGCATCTGCATATGGTGGTATCTTATGGGGGTCCTGGGAATAAAGCCTCGGGGTTACCCAGGGAGGAATGGTAAGTAATGTGACACTTTTGGGCACAAGGACTCAAACTGCTTGGATTCAAGGTTTGGTTCTGCCACTAACTAGTGTTTTGGAGCAAGTAATTTTTCCATCCTCATGTGTGCAGTTTCCACATCTGTCAAATAGAAGTAGTGATAGTATCTACCTCAGAGAAACATTCTGAGGATGAAATGAGTTCAGTGTAGTGCCACAGGAAGTGACTAGAACTTAGAGAGTGCTCAGTCAGTGTTAGCTGTTGGAGGGCCCATGAGTAGGACTCAGAGGCATCCAGATAAGCAAGGGAGGAAGCAGGACAGGAAACCTGGAAGAGAACCATTCATCTTTAACTTGTGCCTGGCCTGCTGAGGTATGGGGACTTGTGGCCTGCAACTGGCCTGACTGATTCAGCCTGTATCCTGAGAGCCCCTTCACCTGTGGAAAAATAGTTCATGGGCTTGCACTCCTACTAATCCAAAGAAGACAAGGTGGACACAAAGGACCTCAGAAAATGGAATGGAATTCTAAGTGATCTGAAGGAAAATAGAGTCAAATGAAATCTTGGTGATAACACAAAAAACAGCCTATATCCAGACCATAATCTCTTCCGTGTAAACCAAGCACAGAGGAACTTAAAGAAACAAAGTATCAGGAGATGGCCAGGCACAAAGCTGTAATTGCGGTAATGCAACATCACTCTCTATAGTGTCCCTCCCCACAAAAGAGTCCATGGGTATTTTATGCTCATCAGTATATCCTTTCACCATGAAAGATACGTAATGACATAGAGAGGGGCTGGGGATTTAGCTCAGTGGTTCTGCCACCTGCCTCGAAAGTGCAAGGTCCTGAGTTCAATCCCCGTTACCAAAAAAAAAGACATTTGACAAATGAGAAGTTGCAAAAATTTCTGTATGGTACAATTCTGTATATATAGAATATATGTATGTGTATGTGTGTGTGTGTGTGTTTGTATATATACTTATATGAAGTTAATTCAAAGAAAAAAATGCACGCCAAACTCTTAACAGTGGTTACTACTGAGAAGGAAGTTAAGAGATGAAGAGTGGCTTTTATGTTTTACCCTGTGTTAAGGTTGCTGGATTAGCAAATACTGTAAAAATACAGGGTATCTAGTTGAAATTTCAGGTAAACAACTGATACTTAACGTGTGTAATAATACTGTGAACATACTTATACTAAAAATCATTGTCTGAAATTCAAGTGTAACTGGACATCCTATATGTCCTCTGGCAAGCCTGAATTATATCCTTTTGTATTTTTTTTTTCTCAAGATAGGGTCTCACTATGCAGTTCAGCCTGGCCTTAAACTATGTAGCCCTGCCTGGCCCCAAACTCGAGGCAATCCTCCTGCCTCAGCCTCCCAAGTGCTTGAATTACAGCTGTGCACCACCAAGCCTGGCCTCTTTTTGTATCACTTAACTCTCTTTAAAGGATATTTTCATATACTAATTGTATAGTTTTAAAAAAAGAATAAGATTTTTCCCCAATACTACATAAAGGTGTAATTTTTAGATAAAAACATTGATTGGCCTAAAAAAAAGCAAATTATAAAGCAGCATTATACTAAGATCCCAGTTGTATAAAAAGAAAAAAAAAGCACTAGTCTGCATACACTAGAAGAGGGAAAGATATAAATACGATTATGAACAATGGATCTCTCTGGTGATGGGATTAAGGAGGATTTAAATTTCTTTGTGCATTATAAAAATACTTTAAAATTTTTATAATGAACATGAATCACCTTTGGAAAAGGAAAAAGTCATGGATTAAAAAATCACATTTTTCTGTCCTTCCATGAGGACTCTTAGGGCCCAACTAAGCGTAGCTCCCCTCAGAAGAGAGTGGTGGGCAGCAGTAAAACTTGTCGTCTCCTGACCTTGCAGGATACCTCCAAAAGCAGCCCTATTTTGGAGCCGTGGTTGGGAGGGTGGCCAACCGAATTGCCAAAGGGACGTTCACGTTGGATGGGAAGAAGTACCAGCTGCCCATTAACAGGGAGCCCAACAGCCTGCATGGAGGACTGAGGGGGTTTGATAAGGTAAGCTAGGGGCCTCGGACAGAGCCCCCTTTTGACACAGTTCACAAAGTGCCCTCAAGCGCGCCTTCTGTTTACGCAACCCCAGCCCTTGCAGTGATCTAGGGTTTGGGGAGCAGACCTGGGACCCATCATTCTCTGGCTCCTCCCACTGTCACAGGCGCAGGAGCTCTGAGTGAAAAGACAGGAAGTGGCTTTCTCACATTTCGGGATTGAGAAACCAGGTTAACAATACATTGATTAATAATAATACCCAGCATTTACTGCTCAGGCCTTTGCATACATTATCTCTAACACTTACTATAGCTCTGTATTATAAGCAAATGAAAAGGCTTGGGCTTTGAAAGGTCACACAGCTCCTAAGTGGGACAGCCAGGGTGGGCCTGGCCCCAAGCCCTCATGCAAGCCCTACAACTGCTTTGAATGTGTCTTGTAGCCATACCCCGAGCAGTGTGGCACTGCACCCACACCTCCCCTTCTGCTGAAGTGCTTTGTGCCTCACAGTTGCCTCTGGTTCTCTCCACTTTCCCCTTCTAAATAAAAATTCCCATTCCCCAAGTGAATCCCTGGAAAACAGGTCAAGAAAGCAAATGGATCCACCAGCTTCTCCCTGGTGTAGAAATGCCTAGCCTTCTGCTCCCCAGACCCATGGGAATGTGCAGGTTAATCTCAGTGACTCTCCTGCTAGTCTCGTTTCAGGCTGTGAGAGAATACTTCAGAGATCAAGTCCCTTTAAATTATTACCCCCTCGCACACACATCAGTTATTTGCTAGAGTCAGATAAGACAGCAACAGATACAGCAGCTAACGACCACAATTTCTTCTTTTCTGCCTCTGGCCACCACCTCTCCTGTTGAAGGAAGTTGGTTGCTCTCAGTTTTCCCTCTCCCACCAGCTTCCTGTCTGTGACCTAGAACCAGATTGCACCGTTGGTTCTCTTTTTCCTCAGTGATAGGCTCTTCACCCGTGGAGAGCAGAAGGCTGAGGGTGGCAAGTGTTCTACCAGTGTTGGAGCAGTCTCCAAACATCCCAGGTCCGTGGCAATGCCCAGCCAGGGGAAGTTGGACCTATCTCTGGTTGGGGTGAAGCTCTTCAGAGTTATCGCAGAGCAGCACCTTGTTCTAGCTTGTTCCTCTTCTCTCTGTGGTATTTTCTGAGGTATTGCTTCATAAGGATTCCCTGTATGAACACAGAAAAACAGTCTTTGTCCCTTTTCAATTGCTGCAACTGAACACACCCACTGGGTGATTTATACAGATGAAGATTTATGTAGCTCACAATTCTGAAGGCTAGAAAGTCCAAGAGCAGGGTGCTAGCCTCTGGTGGGGCCATCTTGCTGCATCACAACATGGGGGGGGGGTGTCAGTCACGTGGTGGGATATGGTAAGTGAGCCAGCCTGGCTCTTTCTCTTTCAAAGCTGCTAATGCCATCTTGGGGGGAGGGGTGACTCTCATGACCTCATCTGATCCTAATCACCTGCCAAAGGCACAACCTCCAAATACCATTAACGTGAATTTGGGGATTAAGTTTCCAACACAAACTTTGGGGGACACAGTCAAGCCATAGCGGTATCCTCCAATGCAGCAAGCCCTTCTGTGAACCAGGGAGCCCAATGCGCTAGGATTCCTGAGGCCCACGGTACAGTGAGGCAGATGGACCCTTCCACAAGCAGCAGTCATAGGTGAGCTATAGTAACACATGTGAGCAGCTTGCGGTAGGAACTGGGTGTGAACAAATGAATAGCAGTGGTGGAGGTGATAGCTGAAGTGCCTTTGAAGAATAGATAGCGTTTCATTCAATCTGCAGATGTTGGAGAGGATGACTGTGTAGCAGCCAGAGGGCTGGGAGAGAACAAGTGTTTTTATGGAGCCACTGAAAGATTTTCAGCAGTAGGTTTTGATAGAGTAACGTGAGCAGCATCAGATGAACTTTTTTCTCAGTATTTTATTGGATCTCAACAAATGCTAAATGACTAGTTTGGAAGTATGTGCTTTTCTATTTACATCAACACATTTTTTAAAAAGATGAAAGTTGAGTAACCTGAGAGGATTCAGAATAGTACTTTGAAGCCTAGAGATATAAAATTTCGGGAAATTTGGAAACTGCAGGGCCACGAAAATCTTTCCATTAAGAAGAATTACACTTAACTGCTAATTTGGTTTATACAAAAATCTTTCCATTGTGTCTTTTCTCTAAAAGAGAAAATTTAGGGCTGGGTATGTAGCTCAGTGTGAAGGCCCAAGGTTCAATCCCCAGTCCTGCAAAAAAGAGGGGGAAGAAGGAAAGAGAGAGACAGACAATATCTAGGTAGCAAGTTGGTGGTATTTTATTTTGAATATTTAATTCCTAAAATTTTCCATTTGAGGAATTCTTTTTTTTAAAAAAATATATATATATTTATTGGTACATTTTAGGTATAAAATACATTTACATTTATCATTGGGTGCTTGTACCAGAACATGATGCATCTTAGTTTTTATTTTTTCTCCCATTACCTGTGCATCCTTCACCCCCTCCACCTTTCCCTATCTACACAGAGTTTGATTCCTTTTTTTTTCCCCCATAATTTTTTTCTTTCCCTTCTTCCCTTTCCCCTTTCCCTTCCATCATCCCCAAACCCTTGGACCTTTTCTTATTTCAAATTATCAATTATTGGTTTTAATCATTTTCATCCTTATTTACACTTTCAATTTCTCACAGTAGAGAAGCTATTCGGTATTTACACGTGTGTCCTATTTATTTCACTTAAGAGGATGGCCTCAATATGCATCCATTTAGCTATAAATGTCTCTAGTTTCTCGTTCTTTATGGCTGAGTAGTACTCCGTTTTATAAAAAAAAACATCTTCTTTATCCAGTTTCCAGTCCATGGGCACTTGGGCTGTTTCCAAGCTTTAGCTATTACAAATTGTGCCACTATAAACATAGGTGCACATATATCGCTGTGGTATGATTCTTTTAATTCTTTGGGGAAGATTCCCAGTAGGGGAATAGCTGGGTCAAATGGGAGCTCTAGCCCTAGTTCTTTGATGTATCTCCATACTGATTTCCACAGTGGTTGTACCAGTCTACACTCCCACCAACAATGGAGAAGGGTTCCTTTCTCTCCACACCCCCGCCAGCATTTGTTATTGGTTGATGTCTTGATAGCAGCCATTCTTTGTGGGGTGAGGTGGAATCTCAGTGTTGTTTTCATCTGCATCTCTCAAATGACCAGTGATGTTGAACATTTTTTCATATATTTACTTGCTGTTTTTACTTCTTTGTCTGAGAAATGTCTGTTCATTTCAGATGCCCATTTTTGAATTGGGTCTTTGAATTTGGGAGGTCTGATTTTTTTCAGTTCTTTATATATTCTTGATAGTAGACCTTTGTCTGAGCTACAGCTGCTAAATATTTCTTCCCACATTGTAGGTCGTCTCTTAGCTCTGTTGGTAGTTTCTTTTACAGTGCAGAAGCTTTTTAATACAATGAGATCCCAGTTGTTGATTCTTTGTGCTAGCTCCCGTGCTACTGAAGATTTGTTCATAAAGTCTTTTCCTATGCCAATGTCATCAAGAGTTCTACCTAACTTATCTTCCAGCAAGTTTAGTGTTTCTGACTTAATACTTAGATCTTTAATCCACTTCGATCTTAGTTTAGTGTGCAGTGATAGGTATGGGTCTAGTTTTAATTTCTGACAGGTTGAAATCCAGTTTTTCCAACACCATTTATTAAATAGACTATCTTTCCTCCAATGAGGGTGGTTGGCTCCTTTGTGAAAGATGAGGTGACTGAGTATGTCTGGAGTTGTTTCTGCATCTTCTAATCTATTCCACTGATCTTCGGGTCTGTTTCTTTGCCAGTACCATGCTGTTTTTATCACAGTAGCTTTGTAGTATAGTTGAGGAATTCTTTTTTTAATTACACATACAACAGACTTCCTATTTTAAGTATCTTGAAAGGTCAGCATTTCTGGGAGATAATTCAGGTGTAAAATTCTTTTTTTTTAGTACCTGGGATTGAGCTTGGGACCTTGCACTTGCAAGGCAGGTGGTGGCACCACTGAGCTAAATCCCTGGCCCATAAAATTCATTTTTTACTAAGCCCAGTGAATTCATTTCAAATGCCAGCCTCTTTCCTGTGGATGAGGGCGGACTCCACTCTCTGGGCTGTGCTCTCCTTCCTCCCAAACATGATGTCTGTGAGAAGCAGACCCTGCCAGCGAGGGGTGGCCAGAGCGTGGCCTCACACCCATTCCTCTGGCCCAAGAGGTTGCCTTTTAACTCTATTTGGAATGACAGTTTGACCTAAACTGTACTGTTGAAAATGGAGATTTGAAGAAAAATTCACCGAGACTAAGATGTCGAATAGTGTACAGTATGCAGCCAGACTTGTCTGAATCCTGGCTGTGACACTAATTACATGTAAGAATTTAAACAACTTTTTTTTCCCTTTCAAACAGTGAAGTGTGAAAGGGTACCACAGTACTTTTCTGGGATGTGGGAGGTAGAAACGGGCAAGATAACTCTGCGGAACTCAATTTGCTCATCTGTAAAATGGGGATAATAATATTCGTTGGAGCCTTATGAAACTTGTCAATGTTTGTTTCAACCTACAAAGATGGTCATTTCCTTTGGCCCAACCTAATCCTTTCTTCCAAGCTGTTGTACGTACAGCACCAGGTCAGTGACTGGTGAGCACTGAACAACTTGGAGGTCTTATTTCTGCTATAGGCTCTTTGTAGCTATCCTGAGCTCCCTCAAGGGATTGGGACTCTGGCCGACAGAGTAAGGGAACGGGTACCTGGGCCAAGCAGTTTGTCCTTTCTGAGCCTCTGTTCTCTGCCCCAAAGAGGATAATGACACCTACTTTCTCTCTGCTCTGAGAGAACTGAGATTGTGCCTGTGAAGTTTCTATCCAGATGCCCAGGCTTACATCAGGCACTCACTAAATGTTGGTTTTCCTGTCTCTAGAAGTGTGATTTTAGGGCTTCTAGGGCCAAGGGGAACCACTGTGTTCATCTAGGATTCCTACTCCTATTTCCAAAAGCTCTTTTGGAAAACTTCTTTCATATTTTTCTTGTCTTTCTTAGAATGATACTTACTAGAACAAGAAGACACTTCTAACATAATTTTTACACCTTTATTTTACAGAAAGTTCAATGCTTCAAGTCATATGACAAATTAGGAACAAACTAGGCCACCAAATTAGGACTCCTGACTTGGAGGCTGGACTTCCTAATGGAAAACAAGTACCTTATTTGTTTTAAATTCTGCCCTGGGACCATAAGAACCTTGGAGTTTATATTTGTATATAGTACCTCAGGAAAAAAAGGCTGATTCATTAAGGTTACTTTTTAGTACTGTTAAAAAGGTATTGCCATATGACATTTATCAGAAATGGAGCTCCAAGATTAAAATGAATATATATATCAAAGAAGAAGAGAAAAATATTATAGATACATATAAAATCAGAATGCATATAGGGAATGGGAATAGTTACAGAGAAAAATAAATTTTTTTCATAAACCACTCATCTTTATAAAACAAAGTTTTAGATTAGTTAAAATTCAAGCTCTTGGTCAAAAGCCTTAATGATTATATAACTATTTCCCTTTCTGGAATCAGTTATCTTTTTTTTTTTTTTGGTACTAGGGATCAAACTCAGGACCTTGCCCTTGCAAGGCAGGTGGCGGCACCACTGAGCTAAATCCCCAGCTCCGGAATCAGTTATCTTTAATATTGAAATGTGGCATTTAGCTTGGGACTGGTATGACTAAGCAGCTTTGCAAACGCTTTTCTCTAGGTCCTCTGGATGCCTCAGGTGCTGTCAAATGGTGTGCAGTTTTCCCGCGTCAGCCCAGACGGTGAGGAAGGCTACCCTGGAGAGCTGAAAGTCTGGGTGACGTACACCCTGGATGGTGGGGAGCTCGTGGTCAACTATAGAGCCCAGGCCAGTCAGGCCACACCGGTGAATCTGACCAACCATTCTTATTTCAACCTGGCAGGCCAGGTGAGTGAACTTGCTGCTCCCCAACTCTGTAACTGACGGTGCTTCATGGAATAATCAGGAGGTATGGCTAGAGAGACAACAAGTGTGGACTTCCTGTGGGGCTGGGGTCACCCCGTGAAGGTGAAAAGGGCTCAGCAGAGCATCTGGCTTATAGTAGGTGCTCAATAAAAGTAAGTCATAGAGGAAGCCGGGAGGAATATATTGTCCTGCCAAGAGAAGTATCTTTCCCGTATGCTTCAAACAAGAACTAGCTATTTCAAGAACTCCCTCACTCATCTAATTGCCACATGTGCTTACATTTGCTTCCCTTATTGTACTCCTGCTCTCCTCCAGACTACTTCCATTTAAGGTGCCTTCTACCCTTGGCTCTCTGGCAGTGATGCTGGCCTCACTATTTAAATATGCTGTCAACCCATTTGTGCTCCCACCGGGCAGCCCACTAGCTCCTCCCACAGCCTCTGGTGGCCAGTCCTGCCCTGCACAGGGCAGTGAGAAGAGCACCGGACTTGGATTTAGCAGGCCTGGGCTTTTTTTTTTTGGTACCGAGGATTGAACTTGGGACCTTGGGCTTACGAGGCAGGCAGCGGAACCACTGAACTAAATCCCCAGCCCAGGCCTGGGCTTTTTAGATTAATAGGCATGTTCCAAATTTCATCATACTCTTTCCTGAAAAATAAGACCTAGCTGGAAAATAATCAGCCCTGAAAACTAGAGCTCACAAATGGCCAGCCCTACTCAGCCTGTCCTTGCCTGCTGGTGGCGGGTTTTGGGGGGGTGGGGTGGGGGGGTGGTACAGGGGATTGATCTCAGGACCTTGCGCTTTCGAGGCAGGTGGCGGGACCACTGAGCTAAATCCCTGGCCCCTGATGACATTTCTTTTAGCCCCTTTCTTTTTTTTTTGGTACCGGCGATTGAACTTAGGACCTTGTGCTTGCGAGGCAGGTGCCGGAACCGCTGAGCTAAATCCCCGGCCCCCCTGATGGCATTTTTGATCTCTGGTTTTCAAGGCTGATTGTTCTCTGGCTAGGTCTTATTTTCAGGGAAACACTGTAGCTACCTATTATTTATCAGCCACTGTTAGAAGCTTTATAAAGCTCTTGGTAAAGGTACTGAAATCAGCCCAGCACAGGGATGAACCTCAGTGGGAAAGGCCTTAAAGTGTCTGTCCACCTATGGATGGTATGGAGCCACTGACACGCCCTTCACTCATCCCCTCTTAACCACCTCATTCTCTCCCCGGGGGAACAACTTTGTTTGTTGGAGTGGATCACTTGAGACAGAATAAAAAGCTCAGCCAAACCCTGTAGATTACATCTATTACTTCCTCCTTGTCTGAGAATTCGTCACTGTCCACTTGTCTTGATTCACGTTGGCGTGATTTCTATAAGAGGATGTTTACAGCCAGCCAGTATCTTACATTTTTGCCCCTTTTAAGGAGTGTGCTGCTACTGTGCTGATTTGTTTCTGTATTTTTTCTCAAATACCAGAGCTAATTGGCTCTTATGTAATTTCCAAAGTTCAATCTTTAAAAATAAGAAAGATGGCTTTTTACTTGCTTGTTCTTATCTTCAGGGACATCTACAAATCCTTCTTGAGATTTTAAAAGCAAACCAAAAGCCAAAAACAAAATAGAGCACCCCACCATAAGAAGGTCAACTTTTTAAAATAAGTTCAGGACGGGGGATTTAGCTCAGTGGTTCCGCCACCTGCTTTGCAAGCCCAGGGACCCAAGTTTGATTCCCAGTACCAAAAAAAAAAAAAAAAAGACTGATAAAATAAGTTCAGAAGAAACGATAGAAATAGAACAAAATATTGTTTTATGTAGGTCATAGATTATGGTGATTTTTCTGTTTTCCAGTTTTGTATACTTAGGGACATCCTGTTTTATAAAGTGGGGAATAATCTAAAGGAGTAGATTCAGAAATAGCAAGAGGTATTATACATGAAGTGTTCCATCTGCCAATGTGCTCCAGTGAAGGAGATAGATAGCAATGAAAGATTTTCTAAGGCTCTATTTTCCACCCTTCCAATCCTACAGGAATGATAGGTATTTCTGCATCTCTTCCCAGAGGCTGAATCATTTCCTGAATCCTAGACTTCACTCAGAAAGGTGGTCAATATTAACCTCCTACAAACACTTTTTGTATCTTTGTTTGTTTTTGAGACAGGGTCTCACTACATAGTTCAGGCTGACATTCAACTTGCTATGTAGCCCAGGCTGGCCTCAAACTCGAAGCAGTCCTCCTGCCGCAGCCTCCTGAGTATTGAGATTACAGGCATGTGCTGCCACACCTAGCTGTAAACACTCCTTTCATAGCTTCTTTATTAGTGCAACTCAGGCACCACCTTCAAAGTTGGCACCAGCCTTTGGAGTTGCTGGGGTGGGGTGGATGGGTCCTCACAGGCCTGGGTCGGAGGCCCCCCTTCATCCTCAGAACCTCCCTTACCCGACCCTGGGAAGCATTATCTGCCTCACACCCTCTCTGGGGAAATGGGTCGAAGATTGACATTTAAAGTAGTCAACTTTTGTTCTGCTTTGGGGCCCAAGAATTGGCCCATCGCTTCTAATTTTGAGTGTTGGAGGCCTGGGAGGTGGCGGGGAGAACTGCATTTATCAGTGAAGGGGAAAAAGTCTGTAGGACAAAGTGTTTTTTGTTTTGTTTTGTTTTGCTGTACCTCCTATGCCTGACACAAAACCCAGAGAATGTGTTGTTTGTTTGAAACGTTACCTAACGAGCTGTGAAAGCAAATCGGGGCGAATTGACACGAAGAACAGTAGCTATGGTTGTGCTGTGACTAGATAGAGGCTTCCTCGGGGACCCAGGCTCTTCCATGTTCCCTGCTATTTCCGCAGTGTTGGGCTCTGTCTTTGGCTTTGTCCCCTCGTAGCCGTCATGTGGTTGTGACAGCTCCAGGAGTCGCTTCCTTATACAGTCATCTCCAGAGACCAAAAAAGGACCTATTCCCTTTCATATCTCTAATGCGGTTGCTTTTTCTAGAAGCCCCCCGCAGACCCAAAGTGTGACTCCCACCCTAGCTAACCTTGCCAGCAAGGGCAAGATTGTCCAACCCGAAACCTACCTTTCTAATGCCCTCTATTTTTTTTTTTTTTTTTTTTTTTTTTGGTACCGGGGATTGAACTTGGGTCCTTGCGCTTGCACAGCAGGCAGCAAAACCACTGAGCTAAATCCCTGGCCCGTTCTGCCCTCTTTTTTTGTTTGTTTTTTTTTGGTACCCTGGATTGAACTCGGCTCCTTAAGCTTGTGCAGCAGGCGGAGAAACCACCATTCTGCCCTCTTTTTAAAGAATGTTATAATAATTTTTTTGGGGGGGGTACCAGGGATTGAACTCAGGACCTTGCGCTTACAAGACAGGCACAGCGCACTGAGCTAAATCCCTGGCCCCAGACTCTATATTTTATATGTTGCTCAAGTTAATTCCTCTTCACTTAATAAAAAGAGGACAAACAAGGCAGGAGGCCTGGGGTTGGACACTCCTGGAATTGAGCCCAATCTAACTTGTGCTCTGGGGGTGGGGCGCAGGTCCCTGCCCTGACTTTAGAACCTAGCATAGAATAAATAAGCGAGCTGTTTCCTCCTGGAGAAGGACGGACGTGGTGTCAGGGGAGTTGCTGTGGCTTCTGTGTAACCAACAGGGTCCGTTCCCTCCCGCTGGAGGCGTTAGGAGCTGAATGATGCAGCAGTGTGGCAGAGCACACAAGGGTCTTTAAGCCCCAGGCTGGTCATCATGACTTTGTAAAGTCACCGCAGAAACAGGTAGCAGCTAAGCGAAGTTAACCAAAGCAAATACTGAACTCAGAGATGGGCTTAAGGTGTGTTTGTAACTCGGCATTTCTTGCCAAGTTTTCATCAGAGAGGACATGAATCCAGCAGTGCTGTTTCACTTGAGTCCACCATTGTATTTTTCCAGGCCAGAAGAAACATAGACTGAAGCCTGCTTCTCTTCCACCATGAAGGTCACTGCTGCCTGGTGACCCGGGGCCCCTCAGAAAAGGGGCCCCTGATAGACATACCTTCCCTTCTCCCCGCTTCTTCCTGGCATCTCAGACTCCTAGTTTATTTCAGTTTTGATGTGTGATTTTCAGGTTGATTCATTTCTTCCTGCCCTAGTTCTTTTTTTTGGTACCAAGGATCAAACTCAGGTCCCTGTGCTTGCACAACAGGCAGCCAAACCACTGAGCTGAATCCCCAGCCCCCTAGTTCTTTTTTGTTGTTGGTTGTTTCTTGTTGGGTTTTTTTTTTTGAGATAGGATTTTGCTGTGTCGTTCAACCTGGCCTTAAACTCACTGTATAGCCCAGATTGGCCTCAAACTCACAGTGATCTTCCTGCCTCAGCCTCCTCCTGAGTGCTAGGATTACACGTGTGTACCACCATGCCTGGCACTAATTCTTTTTTTTTTGGTACTGGGGATTGAACTTGGGACCTTGTGCTTGCAAGGCAGGTGAGAGAACCACTGAGCTAGATCCCCGGTCCCCTGGCACTAGTTCTTAAAAAACAAAACAAGTCAGGTGTGGTGGTGGCACATGCCTCTAATCCGAGTACTCCAGAGACCAGCCTGAGCTACATAGCAAGTCTGTGTCTCAAAACCAAACTAGGGCTGGGGATTTAGCTTAGTGGTGCTGCTGCCTGCCTCGAAAGCGTGAGATCCTGAGCTCAGTCCCCAGTACCAAAAAAAAAAAAAAACCCAGCAGAAAAGGACATTCATAAGCAATTGTAAAACACTAGGAAAAAAGCCACAGGTCCATTTATATGAGAAAGGATAAATAAATTGTGATATAGTCACACTGTAGAATACTACTCAACAATGAAAAGGACCAGGGCCGGGGATTTAGCTCAGTGGTGCTGCTGCCTGCCTCGAAAGCAAGGTCCAGAGTTTGATCCCTGATACCGGAAAAAAAAAAAAAAAAAAGGAAAAGCACCAAATTATTGATCCAATAGCATGGGTGCTCTCAAGAGCATCATGTTATGTGGAATATGTGGAAGATACAAGGCACACGAGCATATCTACTGTAAGATTCTGTTTATGTGAAGTTCTAGAGTAAGCAAAACTGATCTATCGCAGTAGAAATCAGACCAGGGTTTTGGTAATCGATACGTAACTTTCTTAAAGAAGGAAAGGACACAGGCACCAGAGGAAACTGAAGCCCTGGACAGATGCTAGGCCATGAGTCCAGAGCAGTCTGCAATCTTACCTCACTGATGATGTTTGAGAGGCTGTCTTTCAAGTCTTGCTTGTACAAAGGAAGGACAGAGGAGTCTTCTTCTTTCAGGACTCTTTAGGTCTACCTGAACTGTATACCAAAACCCTCTGTGTTAGGCCTGGTAGTGCACTTTGATAGCATGTGCAAGGCCTTGGGTTTGGTCCTTAGCACTGCAAACAAACAAGCAACAATAATAACAAAAGCAAGCCAGGCAGGAGGATTGGAAATTCAAGGTCAGCCTGGGCAAGCTAGCAACCCTGTTTCAAAATTAAAAACGAAAGGCTTGCTGGAGATGACCTTAGTGTGAAGTCCCTGAGTTCAATCCCCAGTACCATAAAACGAAACTCAATGCCGAGCTGAGCCCTTTAACAGTTCCGAAATCTCTCCCCTCACTTCTAATTTCCTCAGTCCCAGAAGCCTCTTCAGTGGCAGCGCTACGCTGAGATGTAAGAGGGTGCCAGAAAGGATAGATGCTGTCATTCAGAGCTGCACTAGGCAGGGGTACAGACCCCTCCCATTCTGGACCTGCCCTTCCAGGGCAGAACAGGGAGCAAACAAGCAGCGAGGGAGGGAGTGTGGGTGGAGGAGAGGTCCTGTCTTGTTCTTGCCTGTCTCCCGAGGCCTCCTGCCCCTGCCCACCACACACCCACTTGGAGACTATGAGGGAATCACTTCTTCGGCAGCAGAGCATCATGGGAGTTCCTGTCATGTTTACTCACAGAGTCTCATGGTCTCTACATCTTGGGCCTTTCTTCTCAGAGTGGCTTAACTCTCAGGGTGGCCCAAGTCCTTCTGCTCACACAATCTGTGTCCTGCCAGCCTGTAGCCCTCTGCCTCTGTTTCCCTCTCTGGAACCAGGCAGAGGCTCAGTTTTGCTTTGCTTGGGATTTCCTGGCCTCAGCACTACTGAAATTCTCGGGGAGGGGGGAGGGCCACTGTCCTGGGCATTTAGCAGCCTCATGGGCTCCTCCCACTAGAGGCTGGCATATCACCACCCATAGACACTGTCCCGTCCCGCGGGTAAGTCAACGGAGACCCTAGAGGGGGAGTGAGAATGACAAAGGACAGAGGACACGAGAGATGGAGACAAGACACGTTTCTGATCAAGTCTCGTTTATTGCGGAAGCTGCTACAGCATATATACCGTAGGGCTAGAGGGAAGGAGCAAGGGGAGGGTACTGGGGCTACTTCCTTGTTGCCGGGTAGACTTGCGGCAGGCCCAGACATGCCCGTAAAAGGCACTCAAGAATTCTAGCGGGGGGGGGGGGGCAAGGCCTCCCACAAGACACAATCATTAGTTCCGTCTCCAGATGTCCCCTGCAGGACAAACATGTCCCCAGCTGAACCAAAAGCCCTCACTTGATTCCTCTTTCCCAACTTCTGCTATGAAGCTTTAAAATATAGCTATTGTTAATAAGAAATATACATGTATAAAGTGTTTGCCAATTTGCAAATGGCACATCATGTCCTTACCAGGTTCCTCATCAGGACCCTGGAAGAAGTGGGGACATTGTTACCCCGATTTTGCCCCAGAAAAAATGAGACTCCAGGAGGCTCTGTGACTTTCCTGGGCCCACACGGTGAGAGCTGGAACTGGGCCCTGGCCCTCCCACCATGACCCGGCTTCCTGGCAAGCCTCTGACGCCCACAGAAGGGCAAGTGCTCAGGAGTGTGCATGGTTCTCGCTCCTCAGCTTCTTCATGTGGCACAGTGGGGTCCACCGAGTGGGAGCCGAGACAGAGAGGGTGACAGATGGCCCCCTCTAGTGAGGCTGGAGGCTGTGCCCGGTGCTACCTGTGTATGGCAGGTCAGTGACCTCGCTGCTCTGTTTGCCTGGTGTGTGAGAGAAGAGCAGAACCACCTTCGCTAAAAGCCAAGGGCCAGGGCTGGGGATTTAGCTCAGTGGTTTCACAGCCTGCTGCGCAAGCGCAGGGGCCCGAGTTTGATCCCCAGTACCAAAAATTTAAAAAAATAAAAAAATAAAAGCCAAGGGCCAGAAGACTTTCAAACCCTCGGGTCCCCCTGACTCTTCACTTTCATATTCCACTTACAAAAGAAAATGCACAGGGAGAGTCACACATTGGAAGCTTCTTCCGGATTTGTCAGTAGCTATTTGGAGTTTCTGTCTACCCACACTTAAATGATTGTATTTAATCTCACCGCTGGTCAATATGAATTTCTGAAGTTTTGGTGAATGATAAAACCATATTTCCAAGAGAATTTATAATGCAAATATATAAAATAATAGTAAGCACTCATCTTTTCTTTCTTTTCCCTCCCAGGGCTCCCCAAATGTGTATGATCATGAAGTCACCATAGAAGCAGATACTTTTTTACCTGTGGATGAAACTCTGATTCCTACAGGTGGGTGAATTTAAACTTTGTATGCAGTGTGGAGTCATGGGTTGGATTCTAAGCCCAAGAAAGGACATTCATGAAGAAACTGATGAGACCCTTAAAAAGGCTGTAGTTTATAGAATTAGACCAGTGTTCATTTCCTAGTTTTAATATTTGTACCCTATTTATGTAAGATATTAACACTAGGGAAAGCTGGGTGAAAGGAATACAGAGATGTACTATTTTTGCCATAGTTCTATAAATTTAAAAATGATCTCAAAATTTCAAAGTTAAAAGAAAATCTGAGTAAGAGACTACTTCAAGTTTACCAGATACCTTATCCTAGAGGAGGGCTTTTGCTTTAGTTTAGCCTCTTTAACACAATGGGGTTGTATTTATGGCTGCTAGTTTACATTTTTTAGGAGGAAAATGATAAGCATGGAAGTCTGCCTACTACATAGCAACTTCAGTTAACAGCAGGAATTAGGAACTTCCATAAATATAGTGGCTATAAAACCAATTGGAATAATAATGAGAAATTGGAACAAATTAACTAAGAAATTTTGGCATCCCAATTTCGAATATTTTCCTGGCTCCAAGGCTGGATTTACAGGCTCTTATGTTTATCTCGGAAACGTATGTCTTCTTCTGATATTTAAATGGCTTAGTAGATGAGCATGACTAAGCTGGCCCTTCTTGGACTAGATGCACAATTGTTGCAGTAGAACTATATAGTATGAATTGTACAGAAAAAAACAGGGGTGCTGAGGATTTATCTCAGAGGCACTGCGCCTGCCTCGAAAGCACAAGGTTCTGAGTTCGATCCCTGGTAAACAAACAAGCAAACAAACAGTGGTGGCTGCTGTTTTGTGACTGATAAGGAAGAAAGTGAACTAAATAGCTTATAAATGCAGGTTATGAAATAATTGGGCATTTACAGTATATGTTAATAGAGTCTTCTTACGCTAAATTTTGATTAGATGAAAATCACAAAAATACATAGTCCATGCCATGTAAATAGTGTTTGTCATGATTGTAAGAAATCACTGTGGCAAAGCACAGTAGAGCCTAACTTGCAGTCTGATGGGCTGTACAGAACTCTTTTTCATCTCAGTTCAGCACCTTAAATGGCTGTTGGATGAAATTCTCTACCCCCGAGCTCTGTACTCTGGTAGGGAAAAAAATCCTATTTCTAGTCTTAGTATGGCTGTTAACTAGCTAGGGCACCTTTCACATTTGTGCAATGCTTTAACACTTAACCCTATGGATTTCCATTTCCTTTTCTGCAAACAGGAGAGACATTGAACTCAATTAGATTATTTTTAAAATCTAATTTTCTTGCTGGGTGTGGTGGGGCACAGCTGTAATCCCAGCACTCAGGAGGCTGAGGCAGGAGGATCGCTGAGAGTTCAAGGCCACCCTGGGCTACATAGAAAGACCCTGTCTCAAAAAAAAAAAGAAAGAACCCCCTCAATCTAATTTTCTTTATAAAAAGATTAGGAAACTTACTGGGATATCCAGACTTTTATGTTTCCAAATTAGAAAAGCTACCCCGTAAATACAGGACTATCAAAACTAATTGGGAATATATGTGTTATATAGTCACCCCTCGGTTTCCATAAGGGCTACATTTCAGGACTCCCCCACAGACACTAAAATCTGCAAGTGCTCAAGTCCCTTATGTAAAATGGCATAGTATGATGGAAACAGTGGCTTGTAATCCCAGTTACTTGGGAGCTTTAAGCAAGAGGATTATAAGTTCAAGACCAAGAAACGTAGTGAGATCTGACTCACAATAAAAAATTAAAAGGGCTGAGGATACAGTTAAGTGATAGAGCAGCCCTGGATTCTATCCCCAGCACCACATATACACACACAGAAAGGCATGGTATTTATATTTAACCAGCCCACATCCACCTTTGTACTTCAAATCATCTCTAGATTACTTATAATACCTAATACAATATAAATGCTATGTAGAAAGTTGCTAGGGTCAGGGATTTAGCTTAGTGGTGTCATCCCCTGCTGTGCAAGCGCAAGGATCCGAGCTCAATCCCCGTTACCAAAAAAAAAGAAAGTTGTTATACTGTATTATTTAGGGATAATGACAAGGAAAAAGTGTATATGTTCAGTATAGACCCAACTTTCCCCTCAATAATTTAGCTCTATGGTTTGTTGAGCCCATGGATGTAGAATCCAAAGATAAAAGGGACAACTGTATTTCAATTAAAAAGTTCTTTAAAAATGAATTAGGGGGCCGGGGATTTAGCTCAGTGGTTTTGCTGCCTGCTGAGCAGGCACAAGGACCCGAGTTCAATCCCCAGTACCCAAAAAAAAAAAAAGAGAATTAGGACAGGGCTGGGGATTTAGCTCAGTGTCTCCATGCCTGCCTCAAATGCATAAGGTCCTGAGTTCAATCCCTGGTTCCAAAAAAAAAAAGAGAGAGAATTAGGACAATAATGAGGAACAGAGGTAAACAGGCTACATTTATCAAAACAAAATACCAAAATACCATATGTTTTCATAAAAGATCTGTGTGTGTGTGTTGCTGAGGTTCAAACCCAGAGCCTTGCACATGCTAGGTAAATACTCTACCACAGAAATGCTCTACCACAGAGTTATAGGCCCAGTCTATGAATGAATTTTTTTTTTTTTGGTACCAGGGATCGAACTCTGGTCCTTGTGCTTTTGAAGCAGGTAGCGAAACCACTGAGCTAAATTCCCGGCCCTGAGAATGAATATCTTAATACCACAAAAGTGGAGAAAATTTAATCTCAGAATAAAGAACAATTCTTCACATTGAATTCATTTAGCTTTTTAAAGAGTGATAGTAGATTAACCAGATGCATCTCTGTTTTCTGTCAACAGTGACAATTTTATCTTAAAGTCAGAATAATTGATCTGTAAGGCAACTTCTAGTTCTTGTGTTCTGTGATTCTGTGAGGGTCTGAGACTAACATTTTTACTGCTAGTTCTGCTACCCTTGAAATCCACTGGAACTCTGTCATAGAAGTAAATAAGTTACAGTAACTTCAAAGTTCATGAAAAATTCATAATTTTCTTCTACTTTTCCACATGTTCACCAGTCCTGCATGTTAACACCTATTTGCCTTGTTACACTTAAACAGAAATTGTATAAATCCTTTGGAACCGTGATGTAAAAATTCATGTATCTGGCATACTTACCATCAAGAAGGAATCTCCAGAAGCCAGATTTCATCTGACTCTTTTTGATCAAAAGCTCATAAACCAGTGCCCTAATTCCAAAGCCAATCCATTGGTCATTCAGGCGGTCATTCAGAAGCACCTCCTATGTTGCTGGGCTCTCCAGGAGTTGGCCGACTAGCAGAAGAGTCATCCAGAATTCTGTCCCTTGATAGAGACTATCTAATCAGGACCGATCTATCTAACTGGAGGTTGACACAGAGGAAAGCACAGCCTGGGAGCGCCCAGGTGGAGGAAATGAGAGTTCAATACAACCTGGAAGGACAAGTGGAAGTTTGTTAGACAGCCAGGGGGAGAAAGGTGTTCTAGATAAAGATAAACAGGTCTGGGCAGAACAGGAAAGAGCAGGATAAGGAAGTGCTTCTGAAGCATCTGGCTGCACCACACACTCTATGCCCTGGAGAGCTTGGCTGGCCCATGTGTGGTCTGTACCAGGCCTTAAGCACCTGCAGTCCCAGGGTTAGTCCTAGGTGACCCCAGGGGAATTCAAGGCCAACCCACATAGAGCAGATTCACAAGTGTATCTGAGTCCAGTCTCAAACTTCTGTGTATTCAGCCAGAAGTGGACTGAACCAGAAGCCTGCTTCTGAGATATGCAGTAAGAAGCTGTTAGGCCAGCTACACTCCATTAAGACTTCTCGGAATCAATATGCAGTATCTAGAAGTGGTGGTTGTTATGAACTGAGAAAAACAAGATACTAATAGCTTGTGAAATGAGTGAAAGTTTATGATATCAGCTAGTATATAGAGAAGACTTTACAAATAATCTATACCATAACCCTGTAAGATAGATGCTATTAATTTTTCTAATTAAACAGATGTGGAAACTGTAGAACAAGAAGTTTAAGTAACTTAGTGAGGATGTTGTGGTTTGGATATGACTTGACAGTGTCCCCCAAAGGTTCATGGGCTAGGAGCTTGGTCCTCAGGTGTCAGGGTTTAGAAGGTGGGGCCTAGTGCAAGACAGGCCACGGAATGTCTTCAGGAGGGATTAATGCTGTTGTCTCAAAGAAAGGCCACCTGCTGTGTGTGGCTTCTTCCTCGAGAGGCCTTTCCCTTCCTGCTTCTCCACCATATTATAATATAGCCAAGGAGGCTCCCACTAGAAGCTAAACAGATGGGGCCAGCCAACCTTGGGCTTTCAGCCTTAGTTATTTTGTTATAACAACAGAAAATGGCACATTACAGAAGATCATCCAGTTAACAAGTGGTGGAAAGCTAGAATTCACTAGGAGTCTGCTATCAGAACCCAGGCTCTTGGGCTGGGAGTTTAGCTCACTGGTAGAACACTAACCTAGCATGGATGAAGCCCTGGATTTGATCCCTACCTCTGGGAAAGAAAAAAAAAGATCAGGCTCTTTAACTAGACTCATACTCCATAGGTCTTATAGTGTGTTAGATGTTAAGAAGGTTTGGGATGATGAGGGAAAGTAAAGGCAAGAGGAAAGATAAAACATTAATTTCTTGACTATATATAGTCAAGAGCTAAGATCACTATATATAGTCTACTGGAGACCTCTGCAGTAGTTTCCAGTCTCCTGCCCAGAGTACAATGCAGGGCTGAAGAAAGTCTCAAAGACAGAATTAAAGAAAAAAGTGAGAAGCCAAGATGGCCAGTTCTGAGCAACCAGTAAAGGCCCCAGCCAGTCCAAGCCACTGCTATTTATTGATGACATGGTCAAATTGGGGTAAAGGGCTATGCGAGAGGATGTGCAGTTGCTATGAACACGTTACTGAAGTAGGCAAGGCTTGTAAAGGAAAAGACAAAGCATTCTTAAATTAGAAACATACCAGACAGGGCC